AAATTTAAAATTTTCCAGTAAAAAAGGTGTTCTATGTTTTGGTATTACCCGTATGAGAGCTCACAAAATCTGTTGTTGCCCAGGGAGGCGATCGAGAAAGATTCATAATATTAAAAGTAGCAATTAGAAATTAACTCAAACATTGGTGATGTTAAAAAATAAATATAAAAAATGATTGCAGTTAAAAATTTATTGAGGCTCAAGGAGTATACATATATAGTAATTTACTGATATTTATTGTTCTTTAAAAATTTACTAATGGTCATTTAAAGTTAGTACCTTAAATAACTAACAATAAATTTTTGGGGAAAGAAGTCATGTTTCCTTGAACTCCCTTTATTTGTATAATAAAAAAGATTGTAATTCAAAGAAACATTGTTCGAAGAAATGTCTCCCAGTTCCTCATATTTATTTTCTGTTTTAGAATGACGGTTACAAAAAATGTGTTGGTGGCTTTGCTGATGGGTATGGCATGCGGTTTCATGTTGGCCTACGTCAGTCTCATACCCATGGGGGCCCTTAAGTTGAATTTAAACGACGCTCATTACAGCAGTCAGCTGGAGTACGCAGAGGGTCCCACCTATGACCCGGGTGTTCACAATCATGAGGAAGAGTTTCATAACATGGAGGACACCTCCGTGGCTGATAACTTAACTAGGAAAGTTCGGGTTTTATGCTGGGTCATGACCCAACCGAAGAACCATCAGAAGAAGGCGAGGCATGTGAAGAATACGTGGGGAAAGAGGTGTAACATTTTGCTTTTTATGAGCACCGCAGAAGGTAAAAAAATATTTTTATTCAAGCTCAATATCATATCCATACCGTAAAAGGGACCGAATGCTTGTTTTATAAAGTAAATTAAAACATGTAATTGGCATTTAGCGTTTTATTTCAAGATGAATCATTGCCAGCGATTGCCCTGTCGGTGAAGGAAGAAAGAGATTTTCTTTGGGCGAAAACCAAAGAAGCGTTCAAATACATTTACAAACATTACTTAGATAAGGCCGATTGGTTTCTTAAAGCTGATGATGATACGTAAGTAAAAATATATACAAATTGTGAACTGAATATTTTTACAACTAAAGTTTTTTCTTTTAGTTTTGTGATATTAGAAAACTTAAGATACATGCTGAAACCGTACAATACATCCGATCCCATATACTTCGGCTGTCGTTTTAAACAATTTGTCAAACAAGGCTACATGAGTGGAGGAGCTGGTTATGTACTAAGTAGGGAAGCAGTAAAACGTTTTATTGAGGTACGCGAATTGTATTGATGTTTTTATTATGGTTATTTTCATGAAATTTATGATAGGTAATTATCTTGCAAAGGAACAAGGAATAGGAAATTGTTACATTATCACATAAACGATTTTTATGCATCATTAGGTAAAGTATTTTAAAAAGTTTATTTATTGTTTATTAAGATGGGATTGCACAATGCCACACACTGTTATCGAGGTGATCGAGGCAGTGAAGACGTAGAATTGGGTAAATGTATGGAAGCAGTTCATGTGAAAGCTGGTGATTCCAGAGATAGTCATGGAAGAGGCAGATTTTTCCCTTTTGTACCAGAACACCATCTTATCCCTGGTCATGTCTCAAAAGAGTTTTGGTACTGGAAATACATTTACTATGATAGTAAGGAGGTAAGAAATTAAGAGGGGAGGGGTATTGGAATGCTATCAAAAACGTCCCCTTGTTATAACATGAAAAATGAGACAGAAATCTTTTTTTTATTTTAGAAGCTACAAACAATACTTTTTAACGCTAATCATTAACTGGGGGAATATTATAATGTTTTTGTCTGACTTTTTAATCCATAAATAATCCCATATTGCATTTGTGTCATTTCGGGTAAATACCGTTTTCAAGACTTAAATTTTAAAATCGTATGCAACCCAACGTACACCTTCTATATCCTTGTTGCATACATTAGTCAAGCGAAGCGTTGTCAATGACGGTCAATTAATTATTAATAAAATATAATTTACTGTTTAAAATTTTGTGCTGTTAGTATATGTCTCATTAAAATGTAATCGGTTTATAATCAAAATTCTACTGGATCTGCAACAACTTAACAATGACGCTATAAATGAAGGAAAAAGATACTCAAATAAAACAACAACACAGATAGTAAATATAAATGAAAGAAGTTTATTACAGAAGATTTACTGCACTATTTGAAAGTGACATGTTATTTATAAAATGTTAAAGGATAACACTAAGCTTTAATGTAGTGTTAACGATGTGTGATGTGATATGAATTGGTTTAGCTAGTAAAGTAATATTGCAAGAAAGAAAATGTATTTATTTTGTATTGCAGGGCATGGAATGTTGTTCAGACAATGCAGTGTCGTTTCATTACGTCAGCCCTAATCAAATGTACGTGCTCGAGTATTTAATATATCATTTGAGACCGTACGGTATCACCTACCATGTCACCTTGTCTTCTAGTCATCCCGATGGAATCTCACTCAGTGATAAGGACAACAAGTCTACTATTGCACAAAATAATTAAAGTAGGTACCGTATTTATTATAAATATTATTAAAAACACGGAAATCTCGATATTTTACCAAAGATTTAAAGACAAAAAAATCACTCACTCGTACTTGTAATTAAAAATATCTTAAAGCTTCAAAAAACATTCCCACCACGACATTATTTTATTTTTGGAACAGTTGCCATTAATTATTTATTTAATTTTTTATGACATTTACGATATCATTTAACTTGAAACCTAAAGATAATGTTTAAATTCATTTTGGCCTTAAAATATGATCAAGTATTAGATTACAAAATTTATATAGGTGCATTAAAATTCATAATTTCATATTTTTAATTATAAAATTCTCTTTAATGCAGTCTTTTGTGATTGATGCGGTACATTTAGTCATTTGGCTGTGCAAATACTAAAATTAATATCAATTCTTATTCCTTTTCCAATTTTAAGTGCCATTTATATTAACTTTATCTATAAGGAAGGATTTATTATTTATACGTGGTTTTTTGTCCATTTTTTTTACTCTTTGATAACTAGTTAGTTAAAATGCTGCATTTTTATGTACATATATATACATTTGTGTATTTTTTGCGAGCATTCATGCAATTGATTTCTATAAAAATGTATTTTAGAAAAAGTAGTTGGTAAATTACCTTCTTAGCCATTGGGATCTTATTTATAACTTATTTGATATTAACATTTATTTTCGAATGTACTTTTTTCGTGGAACGATTTTTGACTAAACGTCCTTACAATACATTTAAAAAACTTTATTATTAGTGAAGAAATAGTAGTAACGATAAAGAATCTCATTTTGCTTTTTTTTTATGTAATTATAATTACTGACGGAATATCGTATCTCAAAGATTAGTTAATAAAGAAAACCTCATACAAAAACACTAAAATTAACCTCATTCACTCAACCGTTAGGATTGTTAGAATAATTCAAATTTCATTGTAAACACTGGTAAATAATGTTTGACAACATAGAGAAAAAGTAGTCCCCGTAATTAGGTAGTTTCTGCGCAATAGTTACCGTAAAACGCTACTTGTATTAATTAGTTTTAGTTAAAAAATTGACTCCCTTGTATCTTTTTGGAAATTTTAACGAATATTTTTGAAAGATATCTTACCATTTGTGACGTCTTACTATAGAATATGAAGACATTGTTTCTTATCTAAAATACGTTTCTGTTTATTAAATGTCCGTGTGTTTGGCAAATTATGAAAGGTTTTCTTCGTATTTTGTTTTTCTCTTTTGAAAATTGTATTTTCACTAAAAATTTTCACAATTCTTCAATATAAAAAGGAATGACGTTGATTAGAACGATTAACTGACAAACTTGATTGCATACTTAGACACTTGACAAATAAAAAATAAATTTATAAGCACAACAAAAAAGTGACTTGTAACAACACCTTTCCATTGTATTAGATAAAACTGATACAATTTCAAAACAAGAACGTGTTGTTATAAAAGGTATAATAAGATCTAAATCTAGATAGTACAGCGACGCTGGGCACCTTAGCCACATCCACAGTTCAACGTGAAAAAAATAGTCTATGATATTTTTTAATTGTGTACTAGTATCTATAGTAATTTTATTGTTTATTTATAACATAACCCATTTAAAGCAAGCTGAATAATGGTACAGCATGATTTTTTATGCAAATAAATTTTNGATTGTAAATTCTCACAAAGTATTATCTTATAAACTCTTATCACCTGAACGATTCCTATAATAATTAAAAAATGTTTGGGCAATAAAAGGTAAGTTTATAAACTTGTACTTTGCTGTTTTATAGCTTATTACCTGTTAAATAAAGCGGCTTTTGCGTTGGTGTAAATATAGTTATTTAACATTTAAAATACATAAATGACCTGAAATAGAGCTGTATATAGTATTATATTTTTCACATTAGATGCCCATTCGTCAAGGACTAAGGGAGAAAATGGCAAACAAGAGGTAAAACCAATTTAGATCGCAGAACAAGAAACGATTGTACTCCTTATTTCCAAGGTAATTAAATTAGCTTATAAGGTAATTTTAAATATCGTTCAGTATTCTCAATACACCACCAATGCCATTCGTTCATATTTATTTACTTAGAGAGACATAAGACAAATAAATGTTATCTCAAACACGCGCGAACCGTGTGACGATTGTGCCGCACTCTTTCTGAACGTGAATCCGTAGATTTTCAATTTTTGGATTATTTGTAGATAATTGTTTTATGTATTACAAAGGACCTGGTTTTCATTTAAAATGAAACAACATTTACACTCTTCATGTGATTTTATTAACTAAATTAAGTGCACATTTTCTAACAAGAAACGTAAAAATAAATAATTAGTATAAATTACAACGTACAAGATAAATATTTTGTTTTCATTCTTAAAATTAACAACAAACTCTTAAGATAGTCGACATCGGTAGATCTTTAAGCAATTATACGTCGACAATAAATGCAGTGATTACGTAAAATACCCTTTCACTTTTTATTTGCCCTTCAGACTTCTTAGACCTTTTGTATTTCAAAAAGTTTCACGTCAGTATCATACCATACGGGAGGATCAACATTTCTAAAAAGTATAAAAATTATAGCACTTACGTCTCAAATCTAATGTGTAACTCGTGTATAAACTTCGGTTAGTTAATGACAAAACATTCAGTGAATAATACTATATCCTGATATATAATCCATAAAATATATTGTACAGTTTTAGTTATTTAACCCGAATGATATAAAATAAATGATTACCTTAAATAAATAACACCCCACATGTAGGTCCTAAACCAAGTGGTAGTACCGGCGTTAGCTTGATACTTTCTTATCAAAATCGGATGGGGAACAGGCAACAGACCTACCAGAGTGCCGTGTTGCAGAAATTTCAGTATTTCACTCTCATCAGTTAGGCCTCTGCAACGAAAAACAAAGCAAATTTTTAACGTAATTATTCTACGTACATACAGCAATATTTTCAAAATATTCAGTTTCATACTTGTCTATACAAATCTTCTCAACTTGCGGCACCAAAACCTGAAGAAGTCTCATAATCGTTTGTAATGGTAGTTTACTCTTCCAGGAGTGAACCCATTCGCCTGTTGGAACCCACTGACCGTTTGATTTTTCTACTGAAGAACTTACGCGAAGACTATTTCGCTAAAAACCACAAAAAAATAATTACTACTTAATAAACTTTCTCCCGATCGACTTAAAGAAGTAACGTACTGTTTGTATACTAGGCTTCACACTGCTTAAAGACTCTTTTGACTGGATGCAAATCTCTTTCTGTTTTATTTCTGGTGAGGAAGGCTAAAAAATAAAATAAATATTAATTAAGACGTACATAATTACAAATAGTAATTATCTTGACTCAAAAATTCAGTGCATGAAAATGGAAGGGACTACAAGCAAGAAATAATTCTAAAAAATATACTACATAACTTTGACCTATTTAGGTGTGCAAAATTAAACAAGTTCTTCAACTCTTAGGAAGGATATAACTCCAAGAGTCCCCCCCCCCTTGTATACCCATCTAATATTTTTTTTAACTCAGAAAGAATCACGTGGTTTTAAATTGATAAATTACCTGACTGTTACTGACTTCATCTTTTCCCTCTTCAGGAGCAGAGTCGTCTCCTCCACCCTTTTCCGGGGAGTTCAAGCTGAGAGTTGTTATACCGTTGGTCAAATTAACCTGTTCCATGTGCGAAGTGATGGGATGGGCAGATTCTTTTTCGGTCATCTGGGTTATTTGGGGGGTTGCAGCCAGTGTTGCCTTTAGTGTACCCGGTTCAGCTGGTAACGCTGGATGCGATCCTTCCATGGCTATCTCGGATATACTTTCGTGACTCGTTGCATTAGAAAGGGCCGGCCGTTTTGACCTTTTATTCAAAGATTTGGCAATACTACTGTAGTCACTGGGTAAGTTAGCAAGACTATGAAACACTTGTCGTTTACGTATAATGGTGTAGACCAGATTAGAATTACCTGAAAAAAAAAAGGAAACAGTGAAAGTCCTAACTGATTTTATCAAAATATCAGGAAAGATGCTTAATAAAGAATACTAACCATCAAACTGATATTGTATTATGTTGTTGAATATTTCTAGTAGAAAGAATACAAGATGATGATTTGTAGGTGACGAAAAAAGAAACCATGGGGTGCTGAATGCCTCAAGAAGGTGGAGAAGCTTAGTACTCGCTACCATCGATAACGTCTTCAAATACGGTGAAACTGGAAATAAAAATTAAAAACAAGTAAGTAAATTACGATATTTATAGTAAAACTGTATGACTCACCATTAACTAAGATGGTAAGTAGACAATCAAAAAGCGGCTGAAGTCGTTGATGACCAGTCGTAATAATCTTATGAAAAACTATAATTAAGAGATCTGCATGTGTCCCGGTGAATACGGGAATATCCATGGGAACAGTTGCGGTGTAAGGCTTATTTAATCTTACCCCAAAATTACGCTCACCGGACAGTAACAAAAGTATAAATACTCCAATATGCATCAGACCAACTCTGGCTGTAAACCAAATCAAAATAAAATAAATTGTTCTCACATTGCTATTAATTAATGCAATTACAAATTCTTACACTGATCAGCTCTAGAATCATTCAAGTGATACAAAATAGGAACTAATACGTCCAGTACATCACTACTTTTCAGTACAAAGTATAAAAATTTCTGTAAACAGAAAAAAGTATTAATTTTTAAACAAAGCAGTTAGAAAAACAGTTGATTACCTTGTTGTAGTCGCATATTTTCCAAAAGAATATCAAAAGTTCTTGGTGAAAATGTACTTTTTTGGTCGAATTGGGCAAGTACGTTTGAACCAATGGGTTGTTAAGCAGTCTTGTTACCCCTTTCAAAATAAAATTAAAATCTTCGTCTCTATGTATTCGACTCAAGTAGTTAATGAAGAGATTGTCTGGGGCAGAGGACTAACAAAAATATTAACACTAATTAATAAATGTTCTACTCCTCCGCTTTAATTGTTAAAGATACCTCTTAAATTTGGTTGATTTTGCTTACCTCCTCAGTGTCACAAACATTGGCAGGATTCGTATCATGATCCAGTGTTACTATCAATATTTGTAGAGCTGCCTCTACAAGGGGTTCTAAAGAATCATTGAAGATTAAATGATTATAAGGCACTCCTAAGCCCACAGGGTCATAAGCACAGACTGTATTTAATAGGGACGTAAATAAGGGAAGAGCATGTCTATTTTCAGAAGAAGTAAAATATCTGCAATAAAAAAGTCCAAATTATTTGCTTGATTCCCTGAACTCAGCAAAAAAAGTGTTCACAAAAGACGAGGCAGCCAAAATAAGTTATTGAATGGTTTATGGAAAATTATTTGCTTACAAAATCCATTTGTTTGGATTTTGGGCTATATCTGTAGGTGGCTGATACATGGTTTCGCTGAAGCATGTCAAAAGGAACGTTAAAAGTTCGGTACGGTTAGAATCAAAAGTTTGGACTCTCGGGGGCGACTGAGCAAAACCAACACCTGCTTCCCAAATATACTCGCAGCTGTCTATTGCTGACAGATCTTCTGCCTTATCCTTAGAAGAAAAGAGATTATTTTATACACAGTTCAAATAAATATTATATGTAAAAGAATGTGATCTTACTGGACCCGATTTACGACTTCCCACAACAGTAAAGTCTGGACAAAATAACAAATCCTGTAAAAAATACAATGTTAACAGGTAAATTTAGAAAAATAAGAAAGAACTTGCAGAAATGGCATTCAAAAGAGACTGTGCAAGTGGTATAGATTCATCTTCTTCATCATTTTGACTTGGCAAAGAAGACCAAAAAAATCCTCTCCATTCAGGGTCTTCAAATATGTAGGGCATTAGGCGAGTCAAAAGACGTACGCAGTTCAATACTGAAAAAAAAAGTCCTAATTAAGCAATAATAATTAAATTTAAAAACTCCAACTGAATTAACTTTATGTTTACACATATATGTATAAAAGTGCCTCACAATACCAATTCTATATAAATTCAATATTTTAAATACATTAATGTTATGCATAAATAAACTTAAAATTAGGTGTAACTGTTATTTTTCAAGCTACTATTAACGCTTTTTGTGATAATAATTATGAATAATGAGTTTATAATTGCTTATTGTGTCAAATAGATTAAAAGTTCTATTGTCTTCAATTTTTAATAGATAGTTGTCTTTCTAATACAATTATCTTTAAAATACCTGTTTGTTGTTCTCGTTGAGTTCTACAGCTGTTATCAACTGCTTTTACTATCTTTTCAACTGCTTTGTAGCATAATGTCGCCAAATTTGCAGGTGCCTCCTCTCTCATAGTCCTTATTTCAGCTGCAGGTATTAACGCAAAAATATCCTGCACATTTGTAACGTTTTCTGACCAAAACTGTTCCCAAAAGGCATCGTCGTTCGCATCTATTGCCTATAGTCAAGATAAGTACGTCAGGTATCGATTTTTTGAAATATGTTACATGAGATAATAATATTCTTATTTGCTAACTGAATAATATAACTAGGAAATTATTTGAATTACCTCAGTTTTGGTTGTCAGTTGCACTACAGCTTTTCGAAAATTTAATTTTGTGTCTGCGTTCCCCATGTTTTTGTTTTGCCAATAACTGCCAAAAAGTCTAAACTTTGAGGTTATGTGCAGCACTAGTTTGTAGCTTGTCATATTTTTTTATGGTGGCTATTGTTCTCTTTAGCGAAAAATTAGAAGTGTTCAAACTACATACTCCGAAATATAGATCGAAAAAGTGCCTTACCAACCTTACCCTATTATTTAAATGACATTAACTCGCGTGAGATGCGTTGTTTTTATAAACTTATGACTAGGTCACTTGTGCGATTAATTATAAATAATAATAAGTGAATACAAAATACAATATAGTGAAACTAGTAATAATAAGAGTAAGAACTTATGAATGATAATGAATGAGTAACTGAATACATCTTATTTGTGATATGATACTCGTATCTATGGTATGACCGTATAACATAATATTATCTATGAAATAATACATAACAAAACCTCTTAATGTTGTGTCTCATTGTTTTCGTTAAATTTAGGTCACATATTTTCCTTAATATCCAAATTGAACCATATATATTGCTGTAATAAATTAGTTAGAAACAAACTGGAAATACTATCCGTATAAACTTTCATTCCATTACAAAAGGTTAGTAAAATTTTATTTCAAAAGTTCTTATTATCGTTTTGAATATTTATTTAAAACTATGACATCGTATGATGCAATTCGGTATAATTATTCAACGCCTCGTAAATCGGACTTTAAAGATGAAGAAGAAAAGTTAAGTGAGTGGAAATTAGCCTTATATGGGCTAATTTTATCATTGATAGTAATCACTGGGAAATTGTTTCATGGAAATCGTAAGTACTAATATATAAATCTATTTATTAATATTTTGATCTTACTGATTTACAGCAATAAAATTTTCGAATTTTAGGTGATGAACTATATTCATTAGTTTTTGAAAAGCAACTATTCAAGCATGGAACATTAACTACAGAAGGAGAGCTGATGATGAGACACACATGGAAAACTGTGGCAAAATATAGTCAAATTTGGTTTCCTGCAATTTGTGGATTAGCTACTACGTGGTTTACATGGTTGATTGTTTATTTGGACTCCAGAGTACCAGGTGTGCAACCACCTAGTCCCTTATCACCATCTAAATACAAGTAAGTAATTTTAAGTGCTACCTTTTACCATTTACAACTACATTTAAAATTGCTTTACAAGGAGGAGCTGAAATTAGTGTATGCATTTGAATGCTTTTTGTTGTAGGTTACAGTCAGGTCACACGTTCCATTTGAACTATCTTTTTGCTGTAATAGTAGGTATTTTTGTATTTACCTACATGTATGTAAAAGAAATTTACATACAATTCTAATTCAACTGCAATGTTCAAATTAAATTTACAATTGACAGTATATTAATATTAGTTGTAAGAAATTACATTGTTTTAATGTACAAAACGCTAACTATGTATGTATTTTTTTAAGTATTTTTAACATTAATTTTATTTTTAGTCATGTTTTGAATAAATAATTAATTTCTCTTGTTCTGAATAACAATTAAGTATGTGCAGCTATTTGCTATTTGTATTTTTTTAATGTTTTTTATACCTCATACATATTTATTATTAATAATTTATTTATGTATAACTGTAAAAATTAAAATTATTGAAAGCAAATTGTACTATTATTACATACCTGCTGTTAATCGGTTATTTTTAATGAAAAAAGGAATCTTTTTTCTTTGCATCTGTAGCATAGTTTATTTATTATATATACATTTGAATTTTTTTGGAAAAGTAAATTTTGATTTTANACTTTAATTTTTTTATATATACATTTGAATTTTTTTGGAAAAGTAAATTTTGATTTTAGAAAATGGCCAGCATAAGTATTTTCGACCTGAAATTCAAAGACCTTGTAAAGGATGGAATAAGTTTTCTTAAACTTGATGTAACAGATCAGAAAGGTACAATAACAAAGTTACAAAAAAGCAAAAATTACTCATTATGTATTTTTTTTACAGTTGCAGAATTAAAAAATAAACCAGTTAAAGAAGTAGAGGTTTTCCAAACTGATCCAAACATTTTATCTTGTTCGCATTGTAATATAGAATTGAAAGACATTACTGAACAAAGGGCACACTATAAATCTGATTGGCATAGGTACAATTTAAGACAAGCTACACGTTCAAGAGATCCCCTTACATTGGAGCAGTTCAATGACGAATTAGGTAAACTATAAAATGTAAAATTATCCTTAAAATTGTCCTTTGACAACATTTGATGTTGACGTTTTTGGAGTGAAGTGTTTACATAAATCGAAAATATGTAATTACAGAAAAATCATCAGCAAGCACATCCAGTTCAGAAAGTGATTCGGAAAACTTCGATTTACAAGATGAATTGCTGACAAGTCAAGGGAAGGTGTTCCTTAAGACGTCTAGTGATCTTGTTGTATCGTTATATCAATGTCTAATTTTTCACAAAAAGGTAACTTTAAATATATCAAATTTTTTAACTTGTGAAAAAATAAGTATACCTCCACGTTTTTTTTCTTCTGAAAATCATAATTTCCTTCTTTTATTTCAAAGGAGATCTCTGCAGATGTAAATGTTAAGGAACGTTTGGAAAAATACAACGAGAAGACCCTTTGCGGAGTTTTTATGTTAGGCGGTGGTCGTTTTTCCGGAGCCATTTTCGAAGGTACCAATCCGATCAAGCACAAAACATTCCACTGTTATACTGTAAGGGCTGGACAGGGAGGGTCCCAAAGCGCGTGTGATAATCGTTTAGGATCTCATCCCAAAAGTGCCGGATCATCCCTTAGACGATATAACGAACAAGCATTAAAACAGGTAATAATAAAACAGGACAAGGATCAAAACCAATGTGGAAGTAGAGCTTGTGTAGGCCAGGGCTATGCACATGTAGTATACTATAGTTGTTATGTTTTAGCATGTCAGCGATATCACCAACCAGTGGTCAGAAGATATTGAAAAGTGTGATGTCATCTTCTATAAAGCTCCCGGACCATATAATCAGTCAGTTCTTTTTGGAGGCAAAAAGCCAATATTAGATCGTATGGATTCACGAGTGCGTAGTATTCCACTTTCTACTAGAAAAGCCACATTTTCCGAAGTAAAACGAATTTTTTATCTGTTAACAACAGCTGCAACTTACGGTAAGTAGAATTTCTAAATCAGTAAGGATAGTCACATAAAATAGATTTCTAGTTAACAATGAAGTAAAGTAAAAGTTTTTCAATGAAAATAAATTGTTTTTAAATAGAGTTATTTTTGAATGAATCAGTTTAAATTGGTTTAATTTAATTTGTTATTAAATAGTTTTTATCTTATTAGCTGTGTTCGTTTAGTAAAAAATTTTACAATTTTGACTTAGACAAAAAAATTGTTCAGTTACAAAAGAAATCAATTACAGAATGTCAAACCTTTTCAAAAGAAAGTAAAATTAATTTTAGTAATCATAAGTTTGCAAATTATAGAATCAGAACAAGTAACGCTACAGTGGATATTCGATCAGAAACTTAATCTAGCCGAAGCTATAAAGAGAAAACAAAATTCGAAAAAAGTAAATCGCTCTAAATCTCGCGAAGGAGCCAATCGGCCTGATCCATGTCCATCGTCACCTTCACCTTCGGACAACAGTTCTGAAGATGCCATCGAATTGGTATCTACAGATCATAATGTAGGTTTTGAGGAGTCATTTCAAGAATTTGATGATAGTTTAACACCTGAAGAACGGCAACGACACCGAAAGAAAAAAAAGAAAAAGCCAAAAATTAATATTAAATCGCAATTGAAAAAACAAGAGGCGCAAGAAAAAAATGAAATTGTGACCATTATCGCTAATGGTGACTTAGAGAAGCTAAAGTCATATCTTTGTGACAAGACAAAAAACGAAGAAACAAGTGAAAAAGAAAAAGTAGGTAATGCAATAAATCTAGTGTTGGATGAAGATAGCAACATGTTATTGCATATAGCAGCTAAAAACGAAAAACCTGAAATTGTGCTATTCCTATTAGAAAATGGGGCCAATCCATGCTTAAAAAATTCTAGACAACAAACTCCTTATGCATGCACCCAAAGTAAAGCTGTGCGAGATATCTTCAAGGAATTTGCGAAAACGCATCCAGAAATGCGTAACTATTTGGTAAATACAATTTATATTTCCGGTTTTTATCATATAGAGTCAAAAAACATGAAATATCGTTATATGTGTATAAAGTTTGTTAGTATTTAATTTAAAAATTAATTTTCCTTTGGTTAAGGAAACGATTGAAGAAAATGAAGAGAAGAAAAAGGCCCGAAAAAAAATGAAAAGAGACAAAAAGAAAGCAAAAGATTTGGAAAATAAATTGAAAGGGGAAGAGGAAGCCGAAAGACAAAGATTTCTGAACTTAAGTGACAGAGAAAAGGTAAAATATATTAAATAATACTCTTTCAAACTAGTGTTATTTTACGTAAAATATAATAACTATAAATTTCTCCACTAAAAGCACTTTAAAAAAATATATTTATGGCAAAATAAATAATATTAAGGAATCGTTAATGATTTTATACAAGTAATGTAAGACTTTTTTACCTCTTTTAAATCTTTTTAAGAGTTGTTGACTTTAATTTTTTTAATGATAATTTTTAGATGGCTTTAGCTGCCGAAAGAAGAATACTGAATAAAGGGGGTTCTGTAATGGTCCGATGTTTCCTATGTGGTGCCGACATTACCGGTAAAGTCCCATTCGAGTATTGTGGAAACTTGTTTTGCTCCGTGGATTGTTTAAAGGCTCACAGGTATAAAAATCCTATAAAATTCTCCTGTTAAAATTTTCTTAACTTGTTTGTTTTAATTCATTAATTATTTAATAAATTTGAACTTTGAGTCAAGTGCAGTCTGTCTTTTAAACACTCCAAAATTCTCTCTTTTTCTTATTTGTAGTTTTGATTAGTAAATAATACATAATAAGAGAAATGGGCGAGATTCAACTCATTTATTAATCTATTAACTGCATATTAACACTGCTTCTTAGATTAATTCTGCAAACATTTTTTGTTAATCTAAAAAAGGCACATATCAAAATGCACTCCTAGTGTTAGAGTTCTACTAGAAACTCTATTACAATGTATTCATTCTCAAGGTAAATTCTTCTATACCAACCACCAAGAAAGTACTTGATTCAAGGTTTATTTTGTGCAAACAAGTCAAAAATTTCACTGTCCAATTAAAACTTTTTCAGCTCTTAATGGTTAGGACAGTGTCATGTATTTACCATTTTATTAATCCACCTTATCTATCAATTAATTGTTTTTTCGCCTTTTCTTTTTAAAGGAATTTACATTGTTTTTTAAATTCTCATCGATTTCACTAGGCAGTTCCCATATTTTTAAATGAGCAGGCAAATACATCAAACCGCATAAAGTCACTACTGCAATAAGAAAAGGCCAAAATAAATATATTTAATATCAAATTAATAATAACAATACTTACTGTTTAAAATACAAGGAAAAGTAACATAGAAACTTAAAGTAGCTGCTCTAAAGTATAATGTCTCTGAAAGATATAATAGAACAGACAGTAAAATCGAGAAGGCTCCCAAACTAACAACTCTAAAAATGTTTTACAGTTTGAAAAGGCTTGTTTTTGATGTAAAACACTTACGGTTTGTAATGAATGTACAGAGTACAGTGTATTAAAACTATAGCCTTCAATACTGAAAACATTCCGAGAATTCTAGAAGTCGTATACTCCTCTAAAAACAAACATTAAAAAAATTTTAGTTAGTAACATAAACTTTAAACGAAACTGTTTCGATCGTGATACTTTCCATCAACGAAATTCGAGTCCGATGTGAAATTACTTAGAAATGATCGCTTTTCAATGTAACTTCGTACGGTCGTTCCTAAATCCATAAAAGCCACAAATGCTATCCAACCACGAAACGCATACATTATCTTACAACTCATTATTTTGATGTAATTTTACGAAAGAAAATTATACTTCTAAAATTCTACTACCTACTATTTTAACCTTAAATAGTTCTATCTGACAGGTATAAAAATACTATAGATACATCATACATTTTCAAGTTATCTGCCTTCATTGTAATAGTGTCTATATAATACATACTAGCACATAAGTGTTCATATGCATTTACTATAAATTAAATTATTTTTCAGCAACGTAAATATGTTTTTTGTAACTATGAAGAAAATAAGTTTTTTTTTGTTGTAAACAGATACGTATTAAGACTTTTTGTGTTAAGTACAAAAGATGGTACGCTGGGACTTTAAATTGATCTCCTCGTTTCTATGGAATTCTGCTTGTTTTGTATTTCTATTAATGCATTCTTGCACTGTGTTCTTCATGTTATCTATGCATGCTGTCATCATGTTATTTTGTTAGGGTACAGTGATGTTTATTATAAAATTATTAATATCAAAATAGAAAAAACTGGTTCAGTGATTTTTGTAAATGATGAGAAAATTTAACAATTAAAAGAAATTGAGTGTCATTGCTAGAAAAGATATCTAGTAGATATTTAAAAAGACTGTTTTAAACGATTTTTGATTTTTGTGTTATATTTTGATAAATTGCTAATTAACTAAATAAAAATACAATTCATTAACCTTTGCAGAATTTGTTTCTGTTCCAAATTTTCATCTGTGTATCGTTGTTTTGTATACATTTTTATCATCCCTATTAATTTATTGGTATAATAATTTTTTTCCCCTTTTTACAGTTTGGCTGATACAGGGCAACAAATTAAGTTGATTGTGAGCCTACCCTCTACCAAAACCACCAGACCTATGCCCATGTCATTCTTCATTTGCTGTTTTACGTTCCAACTTGAATGATTAGATGGTAAGATTTCACTATCTAAAAATTACTGCTTTAATAATTAAAGTGTTACAATACTTATAGGAACGTCATAGTTGGTTAAAAATAACCAGTAAAAAATTTTAACTCATTTTTCAATTTTTAGTTTTGAAAAATTAATTTCCTCATTATAAAACAAGCTGAAAGTATAAAAATTTAATAAAGTTCTTGTGGTACATTAATTAAAAGAACTGTATAGTTAGAAATTACCAGATAATATATTAGTAACAATTTATATATAAATTGATATGTAGTCTACACTATTAAGAAGTTCAGGTTGCGCCGTTTTATGAACATACTAATGAATCATCTATTAAAAATATATATTGTGTTTGCATTTTTAAGAAAATAAAATATAAAATACTTATGTTAAAATGATTACATGTAATTTATTTGAGGTCTTTATTTTTTTTTGTGGTAGATGTTTAGTTTTTAGTTTAATTTTCTTTGATTGAAAAACTTTATGTAAGTTATGTTTTATTTTCGACTAAAGAAACACTAACTATATAACATATTATGTATTTAACTCACAATCAGTATCTTTCGTATTTATTTTAAGTAAGCTAATTAACTTAATATCTTTTTGCAGTTACAACACATAATATTATATGGAATGCTTCTTCTGTTGTTGTGAAGAGACGCTTCATATATCATAGTACATAAATACCTACTGTCTGGATTCATGTTTTCCTTTGGACTTCAAAGATTGTATGTAGGTAAGAACATGCCCCTTTAAATATTAATTAATGATTTTATTTTTTTATTTTTATTCTAAAAAATTTGAAAACCATATTACTCTCATAAAAATACCTTAAATAATCTTAAATTTGTACTAGCGTTTGCAATATCCCAATGGCAACATCACACAAATGTGGACGTCATTTACGGTGGTTGGCCGTTGATTGTGGCAGTCTTTGTTTCACTCCAGAATGAAGCCTTTGATTTTCTATTCACTAAACACAAATGAGAGTAAGTGACAATTTTTTTACCATATACAGTATGAAGAAAATGCATAAATAAGTTACCATTATTGTAAAGTAATTCTTCGAATTAATTATAAATGTAAGTATATTCACAACAGTATAAAAAAAGTGCTGCTAAATGTAAATTATTTAAGTAATGTAATTTATTTATATCATCTTTAGGGAGTATTTGCAATTACTTTACAATTCTGTCACATTTATAATAAACCATGTATACTTGAATACTGTTTATTGTAGCAAATCATTTTACAGAAACATTGTGCAAATTATGGACACCACATGTCGTGGGGCATATGCTGTAGGAGTCTTCTCTCGTTTAAAATTAAAGAAGCCAGAGAGTGCCTTTTTGCCATTGGAAGCAGAGAGAACGAAAAAAAGTTCCAGTGCACAAAATTTATATAACAATAAATCCTTTCTGCCCATTTCTAATTCCAGTAAGTATATTATTAGCCTGCAAGCAGTTGAAGATATATTTACATATTGTTTGTCTTATAACTTTGTCTTCGTGACATCGTCAGATTATTAATTTGATATTTTAACAAATTTACAGAACCATTACATACAACATCGCCACTGTATGGTGGCCAGTGGTTTAGCAGTCGTTCAGATGCAGCAGTAGCTGACGGAAGTATACTTTTTTGATACTGGAAATAGAAGCAGTGAGCTGTTGCTAAAGAAAGGATTTGTGGCAATGAATTGGTAAGTAATAACATTATTAACATAATTGAAAAGGAAAGAATCTCATTAAATATTTGTTTTGAACATACAGCTGTTTCTTTCACATATTAATGGTAGATCTGCCATTTTAAAGTTTTACTGATTTACTTGCTTTTAGCTGAGTCTACTTCATTTTGTGTCTTGTTTATTAATTTGCTTTTTTGCCCATTTCTACAGATTGGTCGACAAATGAGAGAGAGCGTTGATGTTGACGTCTACAATCATTCCATTTTTTTGGGCGTGGTTTGCTGTGGATGTCTTTACCTTGCAGCATTATGAAGTCAATGGAAGAAATGGAAATGTATCTGAAAAACACTGAAACAGCAAAGGGTAATGCATTTCGTTTATGTAAACCCTTGAGCATTACATTCTACAGCTAATTAAGGTGAGAATACATCACAATTAACATTATTAATTTCTCATTACTAATCTTTTACCACCCTGTCTGTTTCAGATCGACGGTGGAGAAGAAAAGAAGATCCCATAGTTAAAAAAGTTCTCTATCTTGCATGTTCTTAGACGTTCATTTTATTTGAATTAGTTTTTATTTTGCATGCTTATTTTGTTCATTTTATTTAAACTAATTGTTGATGGTAGACGTTCTTATTTTATTTTTTGTATATAGTAGTAGAGTAGCTAACACGTTTAGTAGTTGTAGTATAGTCTAACATGTCTCTTGCTTACCTCTTTGCTTAGCTTACTGCATATTCTTACTATTTTGCTTTGCATTTACCCTACGAGTTCTACATGATTCAACGTTTCGTTATCGTGTGTGTTTCTTCTCACCCTTGTGGAATTAGGGAGGGCCTCCCCGAACGACTTCCCTTGGGCTTAGCTATTTAGTTGATCTTAAAAGTGTCTTATACACTTTTCGCGAGTCTACTCTAGCGTTACTTCCTTTCAGAC